AAGTATCTGAAAAACAGCATTGCAGAGGGTGTGGCTATGGGGAGAAGTGAGGAATTGGGAATAGGGTTTTGTGAAGTGCCTAGGACTTCTTTACTTGGAAGCTGATAAGTTAGCTTGTTACTCTCTCATGGATTCTGCCAGAAGATAAGGGACTCCAGGGCCACAGACAAAGGGCACTTTATTATTCTTGGCACTGCAAGCAGCAGGTGCTTCTTCTTCATTTGCATCCTTTCTCCAGGGCACCCAAATCCCATGGGGGTGACACAGTGGGATCCTACAGATGCCTGCTCAAGGAGTCTATTGCATTACATGGGAGGAGCATTAGGGTTAGGGAATCCGCTTTCTCAGACAGCAGACACAAGCCTGACAAGTGTCCAGGGGGAGTCGTTACCTTATCCCGCAAGGTTCTTCTCTGCAAACACAAGTCTGAGAAGTGACCCAGGTTAAGAACGTGAGGGCCTCCCATCCTCGGCATGCCCAGAAAGGAAGCTCAGGGCCCATGGAGGACTACCTCTCCCAACACAGGGATATTTTTAAATCAATTTGTAGCAACGGATACAAGAAAACTTAGCATTCTAGAAACAATGCCATAAGCCAATTTCATGATATGAGCATGTATTTTCTAATTTAATTTTAACAGCTCTGTGAAGCAGAGATTATTTTTTCCCCATATTAGATGATAAAATGGAGGGCCAGAGAGATTGGGGAGTTTGTCCAAGTCTACGCAGCCAATAAGGGAGCTGGGAGTGGTGGAGCAGGGGTGCTAACCTGGTTTGTTTATCTAGCACCGAAGCTGGTCAACTTAACTGTTACCGAAGATTTGACAGGTGGGACCTAGGGGAGGGCAAGGACTTGACCGAGGGCACTCAGAGCATAGAAAGCAGAGCTGGAGCTGAAACCCAAGTCTCTTGACTCCCAGCCTTGGGTCTTCATCTCCTAATAGTAAAAGCTTTCATTCCCACCCAAGCCCGGTCCTCCCTGGGGATGGGTCCTGGGGCAGAGAAGTAAGAGGCTTCCTCTGGGGAGTCCATCTGGAGGCTGGGGTTTGGGAGGGGCTCAAGTGAGCCAGCACTCATCCCCATCTCTGTCCCTCTCTCTGGCCAGGCCAAGTGGCATCGCCTGGCCTCGGAGGGCAGCGCCCGTCTGGACATGTTTGAGCACATCAGCCTCATGACCTTGGACAGTCTGCAGAAGTGCGTCTTCAGCTTTGACAGCCATTGTCAGGAGTGAGTCCTTGCCCCGGGCCTGGGACCTTTGGCCATGAATCCAAGAGAGTGGGTGGGTTGGGAGGCTGAAGAGCCTTCCTGGAGAAGTGTAATAGCTCTGCTTTGAGGGACAGGGAAGGCAAAAGAGAATGTGTGGTTTTTACAGGTAGTTGAAACTGAGTGAAGGCAAGGAAGCTAGGATGAGTAGAACACGTGCAGCAGGAACTAGATTGAGATTGTAGCAGTAGACAGGAGCTGGATCTCAAGGACATTGAAAACCCAGGCAAAGTGGTATGAAGTTTTTCCTGAGGTTCCCAGGGAGCCATTGAAGGTGTTTGAGCTGATGATGGGCATGGGCAGAGCTGAGCTCTGTGGAGAGCTGACTGTCATGTGGACACTAGAGGGATCTGACTGTAGATGCAGCAGCCTAGGGTGGGGGTTGGGCCATGCACTGGTTGGAAGAGGATGAGGTCTGAGCTGTGTGGACAGTTTCAGGAAGGAGAAGGT